TTTACTTTTTGTTATTCGGGTGCACAGAACTGCCTTATATACTATTACTTATGTATCAAAAAAGGTTCTACCAATTAATAAAGTTATTATTATTATTTATTAATACGTATTGTCATTTTCTGAATTGATATTATAAATCCTTAATTAGGTATAAAGACTAACAATTGGCAGTTTTCGATCTTTAACCGGAATATCGATTGTGGCTTCAATGGTTAACATATACCTCTTAGTACGTACAGTACATACTGTGATTTACGAGGATATGCATCCCTAGCTCATTTCCAGAATTACTATCACCGCAAACTAACCGCAAAGGCCGCTGGTATCCAGTATACGATACTCACTTTCATATCCATGATAAAAATTGTTCTCATGTTCCTAATCGACAGACACGTTAATTAAAAATTAGCATTAACAAATTGAGGAAGAATATTAAAAATCGTATCTTTCTAGCGCATCTAGAAGAGACGAAGCAAATTTTGCAAACAACGTAATATCAAAACGTTATGTACATTTTCCATATTAAATGTAACGGTGAACACGACCTTGCAACCTTCTAAGAATACGCTTTATAAGGTATCATGGGATTATGAAAAACGTCCATTAGCATGCCTCTTAAGTGTATTGACGAAATGACATAACGTTAGTCACGTTCGCATAATAACAGACAGAAACTGGAAAGCTATAAAAAATACTGGACTGAAGAACGCGTATCGAGGTTTAATTACAAATACAGATGTTGTATTAAATATCACAATAATTATAAAATAAAATATCCTAGTCATTTTTATTATAGTATTTGTTACATGCAGTGTATTGTGGATGAATTAAATTAAAGAAAACTAAAACGTGTTTGCCTGTAATCCAATCTCTGTTTGTTTACAAGCTAAACCGCTGTACGTGGCGGATAGGAAAAGTAGTTCGCGCAAAATCGTGTGGAAAGACAGCGTACGTTACGCTAACAAGGAATGTGATAGCGCGGACTCGGGACAAGGAGAACGTAGTGAGAGTAGGTATACGGAAACTTGGATAGCCGCCAATTTATACAACATCCGAACGAACGACCGACCGAGCTACGAGGATTTTACTCCTTTCGAGTTGTTTGACTGATTCAGCGTAAACTGGGCGCCGTGTAACTTACGTTCAACACTTTTTTCCACGCGATATGAATTGGATTAGAGGGCATATTAATTCAAACCAGTTTTTCCCTCTTAATACATGGCGGCAGCGATAGTAAGACGTAATTACCTTGTAATGAATTTCATAAATTATAACTTCAGCATCGTGCTTGAAGTAATTATCAGTTGCAAGTTAATATTATGTGAATCAGTGTTAGATTAGGAATTACTAATAAAAGCTGTACTCTGAATATTATTAATAAACTGATAAATTAATTACTCCGAAATATCAAATTTCAAAGTTTACATTAGAATATTTTAACAATCGATCGAACTGTGTCCCACTGACGACCGACTATGAATAAAAATGTATTCTCTTTTTAATCTGTAGTACAAATATCGATATTGACAATGCTGTCGAATGTTAAAAACGTGGCTAGTATTTACGATAGGTATTTGGTTTGTCAGTCAGATGAAAACCGTGGATAAGCTATTGGCCTAATTCATCGCTGTTTCTTTGCCAGGGCATTGCACATACTGACAATATCTAACAGCGTATCGAAACTACCTGTTAAAGAACCGAGTCAAATTGCTATCTGCTATTGATAAATTGTACGGTCAAGAAGCGTGATCATTCGGAAAGAACAAGTATACATATGAGAATTGTTCAGATTTATCTTATGAGGAAAATAAGCCTCATAAGAAATGTACGTCTCCTTATATTAAATGCATATCATGCAATTTGGGAAATTGTTATAAATTAAACATACATTTACTTACCCATAATATTACATACGTAACACACAAAATAATTTTATATGAAATTAATTTCACAAAACAAAATCACGATAGTGTCCATATATTTCGGCGACACAAGGATTCTTTTAGAACCCACAAACTTTACACCAGTGACCGCAATAGTGCGTAACAAATGTCAAATCAAAGTTTGACCAACGAAACGAAAATCAAAGTACGCGACACTTCGAAATTGAAAATTAATCCGAAATTCTACGAACGTCTGTTTCGTTCGGGGAACGGTCTGAGAAACTGTCATTCACGTTGGAATTGAACGTTGTTGGACGACGTTCGCGGCCGTATTTGCACGTTCGCAGAAGCGGCGGCATGTGAGCTCGGCGATATTCTCGCGTAAAAAGTCTGTCGGCAATATGCGGGGCGATGTGACAGACACACGGGCAAAAACGGCGAGACGCAAACGGGAAACGGACGCGATCGTGACGTACGCTTGCTCTTACTCACCGAAAGCAATTCCTCGAGGCAAATGAACCGACGAACGGCGGTGAGTATCCTTCCTTCTGTACGCGAGCAACTCCGAAACTAACCACAAATTCCCGTGTACGAGGCGAAGAACCAGATCCACGGGACACTGTAACAGCACTTCACTGAAGACCGCGGAACAGGCGCGTGACCGGTTGACACTTATATCGACGCGCGATTCTACGATGCGATGGAATTTTCGTCACGTCGCGCGTTTTCTCAAGAAACGGTACAAACGCTCATATTGCTACTCCGCGGAGTGAATTACCAGCTTCCCTCTCTGGCCAGCAGCGATGGGCGTGGTGTAAAAACCGACCAAACCCGACCGGACGCGAGAAACCACGATCGGTAACGCGCTTGTTATTTGAATACGCGACGAAAATTATAGATTCGTCTCTTTGAATGCAATGATCAACAAATACTTCTGGCTCTCCGAACCTTGAAATTATTTAACAAATGCACTCAAGATTTAAATAATATAGTTTAGACGTTACCTTGTATAGTTCTTTAACGTCATTAACTCAGTTAGGAAATCCTAGCCTCTATATGGAAAGTCGAAGATATATCCGCACTTTTCACGATAATTTATACACAGAAACAAGCATATTTTGAAATATTTGATTCTAAAGCGTTAGAATAATATGTTATGAAACGTCGATCATTTTTTTTCATTTCGTGTACCGTTTTATTTTGTTAGAAATAAAAGACAGTTTATCGTAGCAATTATCAATTAATCGGGCCTGCACCTGCACCAGTGTGAACAGTACTCTACAATGTTTCCGCAGAGGTGTGCGCGTACTATGACAGTTTATTAAAAACGTTATTTTTTAAGTAAAAATTTAATATATAGATTGTTAATTATGCATTACGCAACCCCAAACAAGGTACAATATCATTTTAATTGAAAACGTATTCGCGTTACACTTAACTGCACTGTCCACGTAAGCCATGCTTGCGCAAATATAACCTTCACAGATAATATTTTTAAAATACACATAATTTTTACGATTCTCCGTATTTTTTATTGCTTTTAACATAACTCTTTACCATTAACTGTAATGAGTTCATTGCCCGATCGTCTATATTTAAGGGAACGATTAACAATATTTTTTTATATTAAATCGATCCTTTTATTATAAATATGTTTTGTTTCAGACCGAAGATGAGATGACGGTAGAAGAAAAGTGGAAGTGAATATTAACACGCCCTTTAAATAATTAATAGAGATAATCTGCGATACGATTTTCTATATTTAATTATTGGAAATAATGTCACTTCGAAAATTTCAGGGTGCAGCATACGAAAATGCACGAACAACATCAGGGGCACGAGGTGATGCACGTAGAGATGCTGCTTATTCTATTTGTAACATTGGTAGTAGCACAAGTTATATTAGTCGAATGGAAAAAAATACATTATAAATCATATCAGGTAAAGGATGATTCTAGCTTCTGGCTTAATACGATATTCATATATTCAATACTTCAAATATATTCCATTTCAGTTCGTTACTTTAATAGCAATGTGGATTATACCATTTGGATTAAGTTTAAAAAATCATTGGTGGAGGTTTATATTCTTTTGGTTAGTCACATCTTGTATAACAGGATTAGTAGTGAGGAAAGCTATTCAAAAGCCTATAGCAGGCACCACACCAAGGTCAGCAAATTGCTACTACAAGTATATAAACCCTTTTAACATACATTCCATTTAATAATTTATCGAATTCTTTTTATAGATTGGTGTACAAATGGTTTCTCTTTATTTATAAATTTAGCTACGTATTGGGTATAATAAGTTATATCATAATGATAGCCACGTTTTTCGGTTTACACGTGGTGTTTGAAGTTAAACCGCAAATATGGATGGATTGCGGTTTGCTTATGTTGTTTTACGGTCTTTACTTTGGAGTATTAGGAAGAGACGTCGCAGAGATATGCGCCGATAAAATGGCTTCGCATATTGGGGTGTGTATAAAGTATGCTACGTACTCTTACATACACCAGCTCGTGCAATATATTAAATAATTTTCAGTATTATGTACCAGGCCATATGCCCACGAGGACTTTGGAACCTGGTGTCTGTGCAGTATGTGGTAACAGACTGTTAGTGTCTGAGAATGAACTCGGTGTTATCGAGAACACGTACAAGCTCAGCTGCGACCATGTGTTCCACGAATTCTGTATCAGAGGATGGTGCATTGTAGGAAAAAAACAAACCTGTCCATACTGCAAGGAGAAGGTTGATCTGAAGAAGATGTTCTGCAATCCGTATCCTTTTTCACATTGCCTATGATGCTGATTCATTAATAACGTTTCGTGGAATTAAGCTTGTATGAGCCTTAATGACATATAAAGATGGGAACGACCTCATGTTTTGTACGGACAACTACTGGACTGGATTAGGTGGTTACTTGCTTGGCAACCGTTAATTTTGTTTCTCGTTCAATGTATCAATTGGGGCCTAGGCCTCGAGTAAGTATCGGATACTAGGATAATTGAATTGCACTTAGGGCATCATCGTGTTTCCGTAAAACTAATAATTTATTCATGTAAACAAACATCTATTTGTATTTTTCTACACATTGTCGCTAAAATATTTGTTATTTACAACAACGAATTTTATTAGAAGTACGTGACTCCAGTCCCACTTGTGATTCAACTATTAATCGTAATTCGATCCCAACGTTATAAACTTCTTCTGTACTATGTCAAATTTACATCCCGTTTGTGTAACACTTCATAGCAATTCTTCCAAAGATTATTTCCTAGTGTGTGTATATGAGGATTTCCAGTTCTTATTTAATTAATAATCAATTTTAACATTTAAATCATTTTCTTTATTTTTTTAATGACTGTAAGACATTCATTGATTATTGTAAAATTTTATTGAAATGCGCATTTTCAAATACAAATATATGAACTGTGATTATCCGAATTAACTGAAATTTAACATAGCGTAAGGGTAACGAACAGTTCCGAATTTTGTACAATTTAAGAAAGAGCTATTGACAATAGAAAAAAAAACTTAGTATGATTTTCACTTTAGTACGGAAATAGTTCTACCGAAATTTAGCTGTAGCGTTTTTAGAAAGAATACAATTCGGATAATCTTCATCGAAACGTTTCGTTGTATGTGTAGAAATATCTTCAATCCATGAGAGCGATAACAGTCTTTCGTCATTCCACTTCCTTCTTCAAGCTAGTCAAACTATAAATTTGTATTAATCAAATAACTTCTCATCTGGTATACTTATTATTCATGACACTTTCCAAGGGTATGCACTAACTGTATTCTATCTCTTATTAACAAACATCATTGCTAATTTTAACGATCTAGTTTTATGAATTTCGAACTTGCGTGTCAGTAACGCGTTGAAATGAATTAGAAATTCGTTCCCTGCACTCAATTAAACTTTGTTGTATAACGAAGGATCGATTTTATTTAGTGAAATAAATACATATATACGCGCAGGGTAATTAATTATTTAGAAGGTATTAGAATCAGTATTTCTGGAACGTAATTAAAAACAGCTGTATTTAACAATAGAACTAAATTATTTGTGATATTGTTATAAGTATTACTTCGTTTGTATTGCATTTATTTTCGAAATGTACCATGTTTGCACTTCGATATGATATTACTTCTATTAAATCGTTTTCCTGCCGAGTTGTTTCAGAATTACAAACGAAATAGTAAAGTATATAATAAAAAATATATAAATATTTCTTCTTTTAATTCACTGATAGTCTTCAAGAAAATCTTTGGAAAGTATTTTTCCATTATCGAATTCAACAAAGCAGTCGCTCAATTAACGCAAAATTTATTTTCACGAAATGTTCCGCGATAGTTAAATTCCTAGAAAAGCTTTGTACAAAATGTTGTACTATTGTAAATTAAAAGCGTTGTACAATAAGAAACTTGAAGATTCAATCGATTAAATCTTCGTATCGCAAGAAATAAAATAAGTATAGAACTGAACTCGTTTGCGAAATTTCTTTTTAAAAAACGACCAGGTAATTGCGTAATTATTGTAAATATTTCGAAGGGAATTATATACATATAAATTGTAAGAATTCAAAACATAAAGAACGTTGCTCCACATAATAAATGATGTATAAAAAACAGACCAAGTTTTTGTAAAATTTATTTCTCATCAATAAAGATTATATAAAACAGTAGATCAGTAGGAACTCGTAACAATTAGACTTTCCTCATTAATCATATGCGTTAGATAGACGTCTTCATCATATCTCATATCTGCAATTTCCCCTACCTCGCGCCACATGGCTAATCGAACAGAAGTCGTTTGACTCAACTTCTTATCCCCCGTTTCGTTTTCGAACTTTTCCAGAGTGACTGAAGATACCGTCAAAGGGAACGTGAATACGACCAGTCTCTAAGGGGGTCGATCTGCGTTAAATACTATAATACCTAGTCGATGGATCGTACGTATAAAATGTTTCATCAAACACTGGGAAAGATGCATTTTTCATAATTTGGTTCAATTGTTACGAAGGTCGTATGCCGAGAGAGGTACGAGATCTAAACGGGGAGGAATGTCAAGTTGAATCCGTCTACGAATGAGAGAAATGATAACACCGTCAATGATATTACTAAAAGTTCTTTAATCATAATCTCTCGTTATTCATTTAGCAAAAACCTATCTTTCTTTATCACATCACGCACTCATGGGTACCTTTTCAGACCTTCGGACTCGTAGCGAGAACACCGCTGTACATTTATATTATATAAATATTTGTTTATACAATTACGCCTGAAGGACCTCTCGCTACTATCCTGGGGAAGAAAACTGTACGACTTGTGAGACACGGGCGAGGTGAGAGAACATTTAACAGACGTGCAAACTGACCCGACCCGAGCACGGATCTTTTAACCCTTCGTACTTCGGGGGCCGAGGCATCGGAATGCGGAGGGTTAAAGCGGTTCGAAAAGTCGGGTGCCAGGGAGATGAAACAATCGGTTTTCACAGATTTGAATTGTTGGGGTTTAGACGCCACGAATACGACGGGATCGACAGGATGGGTAAAAGGGCAGACAATCACAAACACGGGGAAATTTTATAGATATATTTATTGAGTACTTAGCGTGTAAGAGTATAGAATATATGTTATCTTATCAGTTAAATATCATTACATGGTAGTCATTATATATATATAATGAGTCTTTAAAATAAACCTCGCGCGGACAGACTGCGCGCGCGTGTTGTGTGTTTTGTGTCTCCTTCTCGTCTCGTCTCATCTCGTTTCATTTCTTTCGCGTCTCTCCGTTTCTCTCGTGTTGTCCAAGTAATCTGACGAGTTATTTACATAATGACCGCAATAATTAATATGTACATTTCTTCACGAAAGGACAGAACACAAAAAATTACAGAAAGAACGGACGAACTTATGACGAGCGGCCCGTAGAAAACCCGGGCACGGTTCTCGTATGACAAAGGGAGGATGGTGCACCTTTGTCAGTTTCATTCATCCGTGTTACGCGATCGCCGGCCGCGAATCGCGAGGAAGGAATCATTGCTAATCGTTTGCCTCGTTTTCGTACTCGTATTCACTTTTTATCTAGACCACCGGTACTCTATACGAAAGTATAAAGGGCTCTAGGTGACTGCCTTATCTCCGTTCTCGTTTTTATATCTCGTGGATGATGTGGCTTTTACGAAACTATCGCTACATCGATATTACTTGCGGTTACCCTAAAAAATTATCATCGGTCATCGATGCCAATGTCCCAGACTCGTGAGCAATAGAAAAAGCGTCGCCACACTTCAATATTACGCATGCCGTGTTACCTAATTATACGGGAGACACGCTAACAGCGCAGCGCGTCGACATTCCTTGATAAAAAAAAAAGTGATAAAAGAAAAAAGGAACGAGAAGAAAAGCGCAACGAACGATTCGATCGACGACAGTGCGATGTTAATGTATCAATTATGTACAAAAGAGAGAATAAGGAAAAACACAACGAGACACCGGTTACTGACCAATTGAAATCACTCTTAGCCGTTGATTAGGGCTAAATGAAAGAAAAGTATACAGAAATGCGCACTTACCCCAAAAACCCCCCCACCCACCCACCCCAATCTACTGCTTAACACAATTTCGTTATATATTAATTTATTACGATAGCTCTCGTTCACTCGCGGCATTCTTTTATTTTATTTTAATACACGTTCACACGCTCGCTCTACTTTCTATTTACTCTTACTCTCTTTCTCTCGCATTTGTTCTTTCTTTAATTTAAAGACATACACGATAGTTACGAAGTATTGCTTTCTTTTAGTCGCGTGCCGATCGCGGTTCGCCCTCCGACGTCACAGCAGCGGACGGTTTACCGTCGACGGCGAAGATTCGTGTCGAGCAACGATTAATAAATTAATCCGCACGGAATCGAGCGTGCGCGAGAATTCTGGCCCCGGTCTTCTTGTAAAACAAACATCGTTTTACGAGAAGACCGATACAGGGAGATTTGATTAAAAACTGTCTTTTGTTTTGGACGTATTCTCCAGTTACTGATATCGCGCATTCGTTTCGTCGTCGGAATTCTCGCGGCGCTGTTTCGCTCGAAGGGTGGCCATGCTAAGCGTAAAGGTAACTCGATTACACAGGATCTTCTTAAAAAAAACGTCGCATCGTTTTTTCTCTCTCCCTTGTATCTTCTTCGTTTACGTACTCCTTCGTATAAACGAGTACACAATTTTGACTCGCAGTCATGTCTGCAGCCTTTCCTATTATTATTAAAGTCCGCAAATATCACCTCGTAAGTGCTAGAATGCTACGATGGCAGTGAAATCAAATCAGTTTTTTTCGTATCGTTGTCGAACTGGACAAAAGACCAACGAAGAACGTTTGTAAAGGGTGGATCGAAACGTGAGTCGAGCCCGAGGCTGTGAATGGCTCAACGTCTTGAACTCCTCAGGGTTTAGGAATGAACGATAAAAACGATTCGCGAATACCGGGAAATATCAAAAAACGGTGGATCACAGACTGATATGCCTCGTGTTAATACGTGTGTATACCTCCCCCGGGCTTCGAATCGGAATGGAAAGAGAAAAATAAGCGGCGACGGTCCGTAGAAAATTTGTCGGAGGCAATTTAGTAAACGGAAATGGAACTTTCGAAAGAGTCATCTCGTCTCGAATCTCGAACGCGACGATCTACCGTCGCAAGAAGCTGCCCGACGACCCTTCAAGCCCCTGACTCGAATACTAGCTTGCAATGAAGTCTGCAAGGCGGAAACTTGCATAAATTATCCCTTTGATGTCCGTCAGACGCTATGAATTACTGCGAGCACTTAGGACGTTTGGAAACGGCAACATTTTGCAGCGATACAGTCACGATGTACTCGCGGAGATGCTATACACACTTGCTTTCATGAAACTGTATCGCTTGCAAAAAACAACATATTTTGTTAGATAAACTGCGAATGCCGATGGGTTTATTTTTCGAGCTGAACAATTTCTAAGGTGATGACAAAATGGTAATAATAATAATATACCTGTTACCTGTTAATGCATTTAGTTCAGGGCTTAAAGGGTGAACCAGCGCGTTGTTTATACAAAAAACTGAATTGTCCTTGCAACGTGGACGCGAAATCTACTATTAAACTTGCGTGGTTTCTTGCGGCACACTGGCTATACACAACGGATATGTACAGCGGTTTCTTTAAATATTTTCATTTATTGTTTAAGGTTCACCTATAGCACACACGCCTCTTTAAACACCGTTTACTAAATCCCTCGGTTTAGCTCGTCAACTAGCGTACGTTTACTTTGTTAATTATGATTATGTATGTTTTTTTCTTATTCCTTTTAATCCACCGTACAACTACCTGGAACACAACGTGGTTGAGCGACGTGGCTCGCACGTTGGCTCGCTATTTTCTATTTTTTTTTTTCCTCTTTATATATTTACTTATACCGTACGTATTAATATCGCGTCGTTTTATATTCTTTCTTTCATTAGCGTTCTTTACTTTCTATGTTCATTGCTGCTTAACTTCGCTTCTTCCCGTTCTCGAAACCACCAGAGCTCGATTTCTCTATTTTTATTATTTTTTACACTTCTCCTTGATTTTATCCAGCACCGATAAACACCGACGAGTTTGTTTTACAATCTTACAACAGAGAGGAGGTTTTTCTTATTCATTCTTTTTTGTTCGTTTACTTTTATTAAGAGATTCACTCGATATACTCGATGGTGCGCAGGGTTGATTTTTCCACGGGACGATCCCATAGACACGCGGTTACATAGGACATCTTTGACGACACAATTCAAAAAATAATTTTTTTCATTTTTAGTAGAAAGATAGGCGGGGGATTTTCCGTATAATAGTATATATTATATCGCGTATTATTATTTCTTTCATTCTCTTTAATTAGTTTATTACTATTATTATTAGTATCGGTATTACCATACCGTCGTTATTACTATCATTATTACGTTATCATATTTATTACTATTATTATCGTAATTATTATATCGTTATTATTACTCCACCTGGACATTATTAACTTGTTTGATGCGCCTAATCATGACACTCCAGCCCTGCCCCGTCTATTGCTCGTCTCGTTAACACCGCAATTGCCAATTGCCAAGCACTGACACCGAACCATCACATACAAAACCTATTACGTATCCCCCAGCCCTCTCATCGTTCGATTATCATAGCTATCGCGCGGCACGCGAACGTTATCGTAGCTATCGATCCCTATTTACACGTATCCATTTCCTTGCGCGGCGACTCAATCGATTCCGAACTGGTTACTCGGATCTCAACGATCAGACGCGAGTTTCAATTTTCAGTGGATACAATGTCGTCCTTAACAGGCGAACGAGCGAGCGTGTATTCGCTTACTCATTCGCGTAAACCTGAGTCCGATTAATTCCCCATCAATTCAACGGATCTCCGCACGATTCATTATTATATGCACCTGTTCTCTAAATAACAATATTGGGCGTAGGTGTCTCGCGTGTTGTCCGCGTACACGCGGCTCCGTGTACGACTGTTTACATGTATACATATATAAAAGCATTATCGACAGTTTCTCGTTTTTTCGAATATTTATATTTATATTTATATATTTATATATATATATGTACCTTTTTATATTGTATATTATCTACACGTTACAATTAGTCGAGTAGGTATATATTTACAATCGCACGCCCTCACACTAACACACACCACTTCTCTTTGCGTCATGTTAAAAATATCTGCTGTATAATTTGTCGACGTATCTTTCTCTCTCTCTTTTACGGTTTTGCATTTCCTTTTTCAACAAGTGTCGTCTCCTCGAGAATCGTCAACCCACCTATGTATTATATTCGTGAGAACGAAAAACGCCCCGGATACGTCGGCCTCGAAGCGTCCCGTTCGCGTGTGCCTCGGCGAGCGTACGCACGACTCGTTAGACCCTGTTGCATGTGAAATATACGCCAAGCTCCGGATCGATCGATCATTCCCTGCGAGCTGGCAGTAAGAGAACTCTTCATCCTTCCTCCCGCGCACTCCTCGACGTTCGCCCTCGAACATTTCGAATTTCAAATCACGGACGGCACCTTGAACGTTCATCCACCGGTTCTTAACTCCTCACGGTCGATTCCGAGCAGAGATCGTTACCACGCACAAGCTTCTTTTATCTTCCCTCACGTTCGTTATCATTCCTCGAACTTCTGACTAGCTCACAATTTCAATCGGAATGTGCTGTCCCTCGAACCCGGAAATCTTCGCAGTCGACAAAACGGAAATTACTTTACACGAGTGAATCACAAGCGACACGCTAATATGGCACACCGAGCGGGATCTCCTACAGAACGTAAAAAACAATCCAACGGATCAGCGACCGCGCGATTTTCGAGAACGAACACGTATCACTTCCATCCTGAGTGCGCTGAAGAAGAAGACAACGACGGGCGGCGGCGAAGAAGATAGAGAGAACGATCGGGGAGTATAAGAGGATAGACGGCACGTATACGCGGTCTCGATGAGTCCTTTCGGTATAGAACGAAGGTTAGTCTTGTCTCTCTTCATTCGGTTAAGCCTCGACAGATTCACGTAGACGCGTGAATCAAATCCCAGACGTCGCGTTCACGCGTCGCGTCCCCGAATCACGAGTCGTGCCTGTGGATTCTGTTCCTCCTGTTTCCGCTCTTCCTCCGTTTCCTTTTGGTATCCCTGGTGAACGCCACGTTCCCAGGATCGTCGGCTAACTGCGGGTATCTGTGCACGCTGTGTATGTCGACACCTTCGTAGCCGCTCACAGTGCCTCTACTGATCAGTTCATCTTTTTCCTCCTTCGACCAGTCGCCCCTGCCTTGGAAACCAGCCATCACTAGCTGCTTCTCGATCTCCCAGGCTCGTTCCACTGCCCGTTTGTGCGCGTGCTTCAATATCCTGTGCCTCTCCTGCTCCGGGTCCGCTCCGTATTTTATCACCACTACCGCGTCTGGATTGTGCAGCCTCAATTCTTTCCAAGTACCTGCGCCGTGCTCCGTTGTCTCGTGCGTAGAAACGTTAAACATTCCGCCTAACCGACGTAGTTCCTCCATGTCGTCGCGAATCTTTAACGCGTTGTCCTTCACGAAATAGAACACGTCTTGATCGTGGACGCTGAAGTGCAACGGTAAGAAGTACGAATTGTTGAACACGGATGTGACCACGTCCGACACGACGCTGTTCACGCCGTCGACGACGCTGACCAGAGCACGTCCACCGACGCGTGACACCAAAATTCCCTCACCGAAAACTGCGCGACGGTGAGCCACGCGAGGAAGGAGATTCCTCGTTTTTGGTTCCAATTTCAGCAGTGGTTTCGGTACAAACCCGAGGTCGGAGAACTTCTCGTGAACGCGGTTCACTATGCACTGCAAGCCGGACATGACGCCGAAATCTGGCGTCAGTTGAGGTGAAGTGACCATTGCGTTCGGCTGGTACACCATTTGTTTCATGTACTCGGAGCCGAGCATCGCTGAGATGTCGTATCCATACAATTTCAGCCAGCTACTCAAATCGGTCATGTACTCAACGTTCTGTTTGAAGTTGATGGGGTCGTTGTTGCGGAAACGGTAGATGAAGATGTCTGTAGGAGTAGTGAGCTCGTTCGCCATTTGCTCCCAGGCTGGCGTCATCCACTGGCCGACTGTCGGATCGTACAGTCTCTTGTTCAAGTACACTAACTTGGTGTTCGGATCCAGGAGACCACCGTGGAAGTCGATGGGTAGATAGAAATCTGGATTGGTGTCTTTGATTATCTTCCCGAACGGTGTGCGCCTCATCTCTTTGATCACGTTCCCATTCGTGTCGAACAGAACCAATGGAGAACCGTTTTGATCGGTTGCCACGTAGAACCTCTGCTCGGACGTTTCCACCGTTATGAGGAAGTTCCGAGAGTCGTAGAGGAACCGGAAGGTCTTCGCAGACTTCGGGAAGTGAACGTGCGTGATCAGGTCAGGTGTTCTGGGGTTCGCGTAGAAGAACTGCGTGATGTTCTCACGGTCGTCGTTCCAAGCTACAAGACGGCCGCGGTCATCGTAGAAGTAGCGTATCTGGAACTTCTTATGCTCCGACGCGTGAATCAGCTGTCCTCGTGAATTGTAACTGCAATGAAAACGAAACAGATTGTTATTCGATTCATGAATGATTAAAAATAGTATTTATATATGCTTTACGAAATGTTCCTACAAACCTGTATTTGTGTTCTCCACGAATCACGACGAATCCCCGAGCGTCGTAAGAATTGAACTCAACGTCGCCGTATTGAACGACCCTGTCTCCGCTGTCGTACCCTAACGCGATCTTCTCGTTGTGCTCCGTGACGCCGATCACGTTACCATTTTCGTCGTAAGCGTATTGCCAATTGTTCTCCGTATCAGCGACCTCAAGGACGTGGCCATCGGCGTTATACGTAATCTTCTCCATTTTAGTCCACTCCTTCTTCCCTATGGCGTCTTTTCCAACAGACAGCTTTCTCATCTTTATGCGATTTCGATTGTCGTACTCGAGTTCCATACGGAACACGTCTAGCGAGCGTATGTTCATCAGAACTGTCTTAACTCTGCCGTGTTCGTCATAATCAGTGACGGTCACGAACTGTTTGCTGGTATCGTGCATCACAGATCTATTGAACAGGTTTCTATATATTCGTAAATCGCCCACGCCTTCCAGTATTCCAAGATTCTGATTGTATTTCAAACGCTGCTGTGGTAGTTGCTTCCCGTTGATGTCAACCTCGATGCCCGAGATCCTCGCGTTGCCGTCGTACTGATAACGATAACGCGCGTTATCTAAACCACTCTTGCTACCGAATTTAATCTTCTCGTCTTTGACGATGCCGGCGTGATACTTGTATTCGAGTCGCATCTCGAAGTTCGGTTCGGTGATGTCGATGCTGTGAACTAGGCTCGAGGTCTCCTGGTAGGTGTAGTGGATCGAAGACAGCCCTGTAAAAAGGTAAAGAATGTTATATTTAAATGCGAAATCCGAATGGATATTTACAAAACGCATTGTTCTTAAGTAATTAGTTAATAATAAACCACTGAAAATGTTTATAAATAATAATGTTACTTACCAGCAAGGGTGGTCTCCAGTTTGCCAGTATGATCGTACACGAAAGTGACTTTGCCGCTCTGATTAGGATACACTTTAGCCAAGATCTGGCCGTCATCGTTATACAGAATCTCGTACGGATGTCTGTTCATCGGCGAATAATACTGATACTTGTAAAAACCAAGAGACGTTTGCAACGAGAACGCGTGAATGTGTCCCCGCGGCGTGGTCAACGACTGTAACGCTCCGGCTTCGTCGTACTGTAGCAAGTAATCGCTTCCTCTAGGCGTGGTCACTTTCAGTGGAAGACTGCTGAACATATCCTTGAATGCATACACCATTGAAGTGCCGTCGCTGTATTTGATTTCGTACAATCTTCCAGCCGTGTCAAAACCATAAGTCTCGCTAATATCGCCCCAGGTCCAGCTTGTCAGTCTACTGAATCGATCGTATTCGAGTTCAACGCCAGAGAAGATACCATTTCTTGGCCCCCACTTGACTGGTCTCGCTGTTCTATCGTAAGTAACGTTCAAGATCTCCACGTCATCCATGAAGACCGCCACGCTGTTGGTCTCACGGTCATATTCGAGGGATAGTAAAATGTCTCCGTTCACTCGTAGCTTCCTCCCAACCTGCGCCACTGATTTCGAATTTCCTCTGTTCTTATTACCCTGTTGCTTCCTGAGGAAGTATCTCCATTCAAACCTGTTCGCAAGATCACCAGCGATCTCCGTTCTCTGTTTAGCTGGCACCGGATTACTTTCACCCAACAGTGGCTCGATTTCAGCTAGCACTGAGTATGGGAGGGTATCGGTGCTGACTGCGTGAGCCCACGGCGTTACTTGACCCACAGATCCATCGGGTAACACTGTTGTTCGTTGTTCGGCTTCTCCGATCTTAGTTATGACGGATGATCCTTTAATTAGCATCGAGATAGGCTTCCTATTGTTCTGTCCCACTTTTACCACTGCTCCCTTTAAGCTTAGATCGAAGGTGAGACTGAACATCTTCCCAGTTGGAGTGACTACACTTGTGAGCCTACCGAACTCGTCGTAATTGTAAACGAAACTCCGGCCCGTGCTGTCCAGCTTCGTCTTCAGCAAACCAGTTGGCCCATGGTAATCGAACGTGACATTGTAATTATCCGGCGTGCTCAGCTCGTGCAGCATCTTCATCCTCGACATTCTGAGCCTGCACTTCTGTCCTTTCGTGTTCTCGATAGAATTCACTTGACTGCTATAATCTCTCAGCAGGAACACCTTATTACCAGCCGCATCCGTAATCGTGCTGAGTTTCCCATTGCTAGTATTCACGTTGTACGTGAATTGGTAAACGACCTCACCCGTCAATATATTTTTCGTGGCTACATGCTGTCCGAATCTGTTGAACACATAAATCTCCTGAGTAGCCGGCGAGTAGATCTCGTACTCTCTCGCGTTGCTAGCGTCCGGAATGCTAGCCATCACCGATCGGATCCTGTAATTCGCCTGATCTCCGATGTGGACCACACCATCAGGTGACACAGCCACTGCGGATATCGTATTGAACTTTGAAGTGGACGCAAGGTAGTGATCGGCTTCGAAGCAATCACAACCGCGTTCGAGACAATTACACTTCGATTCCGCTCCGGCGTATGGCGAGATCTTGCCGTCAGTACCAATCACCCGCACTCTGTTAATCCTCTGTGAGTCACTCTCAGCGATGTACAAATTCCCGGATGGGCCGAACGCAATGCTCTGCGGCATCACTAAAGTAGCGTGCGTGGCCAGCTCCGTGTCGAACGATGAAGTCGGCGAGGCGCAGTGCAGCGGCCGACCAGCCACGACTTTAACGCGACCGTCTGGGGCCAGTTGCAGCACCATATGATCGTCGATCATGTGTAACGAATTGTCTAAAGGATTGATAGCTAACTCTGTAGGCCAGCGAAGGTGCACCTCTTCTACGTTCAGCGTTCCCTCGCAAGGAATCGGTTTCCAATGCGATTTGTGCATGTGATTACCGATCACTGTTGTGATGATACCGTCTCGGTCTACCATTCGGATGTTCGTACCATCTGCGAAGTAGAGCACGTTGTCGGCAGACACGGCTACTCCTTTCGGGTACGCGAGTTTCGCGTCTCTCGCGAGGGCACCGTCGCCGCAGTGGGCTTCATCACCAGGTAAGCATCGTTCGCCGGACCCGACTACTGTCTCCCAGTTGTGGTCTGGGTCGGAGTAGTCGTTGGTGTCGCGCACGCGGATGATTTGATGTGACTCCGGGTCGGATATGTATAGCGAGCCGTCCAGAGGACTTAAAGCTATGTGGTAGCGGTAGGATACTCTGGTTGCACTGTAAAATGAATCAAATGTATATATAAATAGATCGTGATAGATTTTGTATATTGAACATGCAAAGAATATAAAATAACAAAAGCTGAGTGTATATTAAATTACATTCTTTGAATTGGTCTTATAAGTGACTTTTTTATTTTGATTATGAAAAAAGTAAAAGGAACTTACTTGAGGCGAACAACAGTGCGTACGGTGCCATCGACGAGGATCTTCCTGACGAGATTAAAATCACCGACGAAGATGGAACCATCAGGAGCAGTTGCAAGAGCCACTGGTGCGAGCAGCCTTTGCTTAGAAGCTTGACCGTCGCAGTCATCATAACATTCCAACGGTCTCTGATGTCCATCTCCCATGCTCGTCAGTATGACTCTCGGCTTCTGTTTCAGGTAGATATTCGAGCCGTCTCCTTTCTGTAATATTCCTTCATGGAAATTGTATCTATGATGGATATCCAGATTCCAGCCTCCGACTTCGGAAATTGACATATCGTGTCCGCTGAGCTTCGTCGTCTGCACGTCCCAGATGATATCCTTGCAGTCGCTGTATTCGTAGCCCACTTTCACCATAGCCGTTGTCACTCCGTACACTCGTTGCCTGTAGACGTTTAATCGGTTCCACGCATACGTAAATTTGATCACCGGGTCAGCTTCGAAAGTCTTTTCGAATAAAATCCCCTCGATGGTGATCCTGAGGTGAATCAGGTTCAGGGTCGGCGGTATCACTTCCGGCGTCAGTTGCAGTTGTATCGTAGAGAGATAGCCGGCCGCTCGAGAGCTGTGGTAAACGAGGTTCAACCCGGTCCCGGGTATTTGCAGGCTTTCTTGTATCACTTGAGATTCGGCTAAAATCGCGCTCTTGTCCGGGCAAGCACCCTGGAAACCGTGCTTCCACGTCGCGAGGACCACCGGCTTCATCAGGTCGTAATCGTGCGCGGCGCACGCGTGAGGAATGTGACTCGGCTGTTTCTCTTCCGCCGTGCTCATCACGATCTTGTCGATTATCACGACCTTGGGAGAAAACATTTTGCTCCATTTTACACATTTATGGATATAGCAATTAATACGAGTTATTTTATAATATCCATCGTTTACTTTACTGAAACAATTTTTACTGACGATAATTAAACGCGTTTTTTTTTATTTTCGCCTTACCTCGTTCCAAGGGACGAAGACGATGTGACTTTGTGGTTTAAACGGCGACCTTCCGAACTGTAGAGTGACCGCACCACCGCCGTTCACCAGGAGATCGAACCAGCCATCGTCCCTGGTCAGGGTGAAGCCTTCCAGGGGTGTGCTAGTGCTGACTCGCACGCCCATCAGCCCGGTGCCAAGATGCGTGACAACCCGGCCACGCACGACGGCCGATCGGCTGTTAGTAAACGGTAATCGTTAACAATCCAATGCACTGTCATCTCGTGCTCGTCAAACTAACGTAATTACTGTTTCTTTTCACGTGCACATTACTGGCACAAAACAATCGCTAATCTAATTTCAATCTACGACAATATTACTCTGTTTTTACTCTTCCAAGTGAAATAACGAGGAAAGCGTACTGCCACGTTTAAATAACATCCCGCTTATAAAATGATTATCTTCAAATAGCAATTCTTATTCAATTAGTATGTATAATAACGAATTGATCTTTCAGTTACACGGAGCAGTACTTCTTCCTACGTACAAGTGATCGATACTGAATGTACTTAATAATTACGTATCAGAATAAAAGTTGAATTGATAAGTTCACTGAACGCGACTCGAGTGTCATCAATGTTGCTTTTCAGTGCTAAAGAGGTACCTCGAACAACAGCGTCTCATTTCGCTTAGATAAAATGTTTCTTCTTATCGCGCGAAGACTGTATTAAATCGATGTGAAATTTTGATTGGATTAGTTAACTATTTTAAAGAGAACAAGCACTGAAAGGTGTCACTTAGTTTGCTAAGATAAAATATTAGTTTTTCTATTTCCTCATGAAAAAGAACACTCGGTTGACTCGTTGGACGAATCGATGCCCCGTTGGCACTGAAGAAGCATCGAGCTCCTGAGAAACTGCTAAGTACACGTACATAAATATTGTATATATACATACACATATACACGATTAACACAAAGTCCAGAAGCTTAACTTAAAAGGCACGAAAGACAACGTAGGAATAATAAGGTAACAAAACCATGCAACGAGAAAGAGATTCGAACAATGATGAGAAGGGGACGTTCGGGGGTGGTGTTGTGAGTTTTTAAATACTTTTTTTTTCTCTTAATTCGCTCGCGTTACAATTTTCGAGAAAATTGCCCCATCCACCGCTCGTCGGGTTCCAACTTGCGATGGAGCGAAATTCTCGGAATTGTACCTAACGCACGAGCAACTTCGGATGCAGGAACTGTGTAATAGTAATTACGTTGTTACAATACCAAATGCAGTGAAATAATCATCAAACAGCATCGGCAACTATCTCAACCGTTCGCAACCTTCTACGAACTCGCAACCGGTGCACTTTCTCTTTTTACTTTTCATTTCATTTATTTTATTTTATTTTTACTTAGAGGGGGAGGTTTTGTTTCTTGTTCGACTGTAGTGGCTTTCTTACCTTGTGTTGAAGTGATTCCAGAACATACTGATCGGGCAGCACGGATAAAACAGAGCCGAGTTAAAATGATGTGATTAAAGGCGAAACCAGAGGAAGAGATAGAGAGATAGAGCGAGAATAGAGAGAAGGAGTTGTGAAGAGAGAGAAAATGAAATGTTAGAGTTTAGAGAAATAGAGAATTGACAGATTCGTTTTCAGGAAGAAGAATAAAAGTAGAAATTAGTTTGTATTTAGAGATATTGTTGAGCCTCTCAGGGTGTTAAAAAAATTTAAATACGCGTTTGGGGCCTTATCGTATGAAACCTGCGGTTCTTTCCCTGACTGGTGTGATTGGGGCGACAAAGCTCGTATGGAGATCACACATTCACGCAAGCTCCACTCGGACGGACACGTGAAGAAAGATGTGAAAAGAAACTCGTCGGCTGAGCCGATCGTAGCTAATATAGATGAAGAAATAGGTATAGATTGAATGATAGTGAGATAGAGTGGAGAATAACGAGAGGGTTGAGTGCAGGGCACACGCTCGCGCACACGTACGTACAAACATATGTAGAAAACTTTTGGGATGTGATTTCACACGGGTCACAACAACGCAGAGAATATATCATGTCTATGTATACGTCTTGTGTAAAAGTTCACGCGAGAATTAATTGCATAAAGTCAGAGAAAACGCCAATTACTATACAATAAATATTTCTATATAAATACTTGAAGTATTATTTAAGATTTTTTATATTAATAAAAATGTTAGACAAGATCGAAATGTAAGTATGAAAACTTGGATTTTACTTGTCTGTCGCGATTCATACGACAGGGGATGATAAGACGAGCATTCAATAAGGAATGAATTCTATTAAAATTCTATAAGATTTAAATGTCGGATTTCTACTGACTTTACACAATAACATTTCGCCGGCTGGCAAGACGTGTATCCCTTTCAGACGTATACATCGTTCAATGTAAAACATTATGTATTATATAACGGCTACCGAGTTTGTTTCACGGTGTTCATGTAACTGAAACCAAGTGTCTAATTCAACACACGTAAAGTTCACGTAACATCAAAGTCGGGACGGACGAAACGGACGGACGGACACACGTTCGACGAGATATACCGTTGGTACAATTACACGTTTTTTTCTCACGAACCCGAATATTAGTCAATGTTAATTAGAATCAACCGACCGCGTTGATCGAAGGACGTTCATATCTACGAATGTTAAAAGAAACGTGGTACGTGCTGGAAGATTGTGCGACTCACCTCTCGTTGAACGTCTCCTGCCGGGCGTAGTTCTGCAGGCTGCCCTCGTCGATTAAAAATTTCATCCTCTCGAAGAAGGACGCGGTGATAGCCGGCGGCTGCTTTCGCAGAAGAATATCGATTGGTTTCGGCGCCGACACGCAAAGTTGGCTGCTACGACATATATGATTCGAGCAACACTCCGGGTCCGCGCAATCGACAAGACCGTCTGGAATAGTACGAATAAAAGCGATTAGAAGTAAGCATTAAATCAGTTATATTTTCATATAGAATTTTAAGTCACTCTTCAACTCAATTATACAGACTGACAGTTGAATCTCCTAACTGTGGTATATAATATTAATTAATAACGTCGCATATTTAAATATTAGATAATTGTGTTTCTATATTATATCAATTGTATATAACGAAATACATTTCTCTCCGAGATAGGAAATCTTTTTTAAATAAAGTACTCGATGAAGTGAAGGGTTTAAGTATAACAGCCGCAAGACATCGTGTCACGTCAGCGTGAAATTACAAGCTTCCGCAGCATTTTTTCTGTTTTACCTTTGTCGTTGTCCCTCCCGTCGTTGCAGTTCTGCTCGAGGAGCACGCTGCAGTCCTTGCCGTCCCAGCCATCGTAACACCTGCACTCCCACTGGCCGTCGTTGCTGACGCGGCACTGTCCGTGTCCGGAACAGGAATTCGGGCATCCTTCCATGGTGCAGTGTTTCCCGTTCCAACCCGTCACGCACAAGCAGGTACCGTTCTTGCATTGGCCGTGCTCGTTGCATCGCGGGTCGCATTGTTTCAAGTTGCACAGCTCGCCGGACCAACCGGGCAAGCAGTCGCACGCGTTGTCCACGCAGTGACCGTGCGGACCGCAGTCCAAATCGCACAGTTCTGGAAAATAAGGGAGATTTGTAGATTTCGGGAATTCGTCCGTTCAGGAAGTGTTAGTGTATTGCGAGCAACATAGAAGCCGACGAAAACAGAGGCCCTCGGTTTACAAAAATAGGGTGGGGAAGTAAAACGATACAAAGGGTGAAGGGTTTAAATGGTAAAATAAGATAAACCTGGAAACATAAGAATCGATTAATTGAAATGAAGTCGAATTATAAGAAGACTGCGTATTTGATGCATTTGAATCAAAATTCACAGTATAATCATAAGCAGAGAGCTGTTTTATAACTTCGTGACATTTTCTGAACAATTAGTCGTACGCACCTTTGGAACAGTCGTCGCCGGACCACATGGGCTCGCAGAGGCACGTCTGCGTCTCGAGATCGAAGTTTCCGTGTCCGCTGCAATCGGGCAGACATTGCAACGCCTCCTTGTCCATCTGGCTGCAGTCCGCTCCTTTCCAGCCTTTCTTACAGATGCAGGTACCCTCCGCACAGAAACCGTGACCGGAACACGTCGGATGCGGACAGTCCACTTCCTCGCAGAACTTGCCTTTGTAGCCGCGCACGCAATTGCACTTGCCGTTCGTGCAGTGCCCGTGCCCGTTGCAATCGGGCACCTCGCACTCGTCGTGCCGCAGCGAGCACTCTTTGCCCTTCCACCCGGGGTTGCACTGACACTCGCCGTTTATGTACTCGCCTGGAATCATGCAAGGAGATTATGAAAAAATACATCGACGTATCATGATTCTTATAATTTTATAAATTCATATCTAATGGTTTTGAATAAAAGGAAAATGATTATTTGATTTGACAGATTTATTTTGCGCAGTTATTCCATTATTTAAATCAAAATAGGACTTCGCTTCGGCTTTCGTTCGGACTTACCGCGTTGACTGCAAAGGACAGGACAGACGCTTTCGCTGCAATCCTCGCCACCGAAACCAGGGTTGCACTGACAGTGACCGAGCAGGCATTCACCCTTTCCGCTGCAGCCGTTCGGACAATTGTGCGTCATGTTGCCGCAAGACATCGTGTCACGTCAGCGTGAAATTACAAGCTTCCGCAGCATTTTTTCTGTTTTACCTTTGTCGTTGTCCCTCCCGTCGTTGCAGTTCTGCTCGAGGAGCACGCTGCAGTCCTTGCCGTCCCAGCCATCGTAACACCTGCACTCCCACTGGCCGTCGTTGCTGACGCGGCACTGTCCGTGTCCGGAACAGGAATTCGGGCATCCTTCCATGGTGCAGTGTTTCCCGTTCCAACCCGTCACGCACAAGCAGGTACCGTTCTTGCATTGGCCGTGCTCGTTGCATCGCGGGTCGCATTGTTTCAAGTTGCACAGCTCGCCGGACCAACCGGGCAAGCAGTCGCACGCGTTGTCCACGCAGTGACCGTGCGGACCGCAGTCCAAATCGCACAGTTCTGGAAAATAAGGGAGATTTGTAGATTTCGGGAATTCGTCCGTTCAGGAAGTGTTAGTGTATTGCGAGCAACATAGAAGCCGACGAAAACAGAGGCCCTCGGTTTACAAAAATAGGGTGGGGAAGTAAAACGATACAAAGGGTGAAGGGTTTAAATGGTAAAATAAGATAAACCTGGAAACATAAGAATCGATTAATTGAAATGAAGTCGAATTATAAGAAGACTGCGTATTTGATGCATTTGAATCAAAATTCACAGTATAATCATAAGCAGAGAGCTGTTTTATAACTTCGTGACATTTTCTGAACAATTAGTCGTACGCACCTTTGGAACAGTCGTCGCCGGACCACATGGGCTCGCAGAGGCACGTCTGCGTCTCGAGATCGAAGTTTCCGTGTCCGCTGCAATCGGGCAGACATTGCAACGCCTCCTTGTCCATCTGGCTGCAGTCCGCTCCTTTCCAGCCTTTCTTACAGATGCAGGTACCCTCCGCACAGAAACCGTGACCGGAACACGTCGGATGCGGACAGTCCACTTCCTCGCAGAACTTGCCTTTGTAGCCGCGCACGCAATTGCACTTGCCGTTCGTGCAGTGCCCGTGCCCGTTGCAATCGGGCACCTCGCACTCGTCGTGCCGCAGCGAGCACTCTTTGCCCTTCCACCCGGGGTTGCACTGACACTCGCCGTTTATGTACTCGCCTGGAATCATGCAAGGAGATTATGAAAAAATACATCGACGTATCATGATTCTTATAATTTTATAAATTCATATCTAATGGTTTTGAATAAAAGGAAAATGATTATTTGATTTGACAGATTTATTTTGCGCAGTTATTCCATTATTTAAATCAAAATAGGACTTCGCTTCGGCTTTCGTTCGGACTTACCGCGTTGACTGCAAAGGACAGGACAGACGCTTTCGCTGCAATCCTCGCCACCGAAACCAGGGTTGCACTGACAGTGACCGAGCAGGCATTCACCCTTTCCGCTGCAGCCGTTCGGACAATTGTGCGTCATGTCTTCCGCAATTATAGCTATAAACGACACTTCCTGAGGATCGCCGTCGTCGTTGTACAATGAAAGGAACCAGTGCCCGGGCTCCATATAGTGTGTCACTTCCTTTTTGATCGATGGCTGGACGAGAAACCAACAGATTTTAGACACCCTATCGGATTACCCTATCCAATGTTTGCACTACGTTCGCCAGGGAAAAAAATTAAGAAAAAAACCCTTTCGATCTTCTTACAAAGTCAACGTTGCTCCTTTTACAATTGATTAATAAAAAAATAAACGGCCTTGGTATAGTGGAGCAACAATAACGTTTAACCCTTCATACTATCAATTTCTAATTTTCATATTAAAATAGAAGAATTTTAGTTGAACTATGTTATAGAGAGTTAATTTTTCTAACGCTACGCACTACATAAAAAAAAATAAAAATGGGGCAGTGGCACATACAATGACACTAACATGGGACGCCCTGGTGGTCCTGGCCTTGAAACCACTCAGCACCTCAAGGAGATCATACTGGGTGTGCGTGGGAAGCGCGTTCCTCCTCGCGTAAACGCCGATGCTCGCGCCCCGCGGTATATTATAGTCGAACCGCACGTAAGCGGCCTCCGACTGGTAGAACTGCATGTTCCAGTAGCTGTAAGGCGGTATCTCCTTGCTCAGCTTCTGTCCCAGGCTCACTTGCGCGAAAGTCGTGCCGTCCGGCGGGAAAGACCTGGCCGGGAACGTTCTCGCACCTGGTTAATCAGAGACGAGCACACGTGAGGCGCGTGACTTTATCTTTATGCAGGCGATGAGTCAGTCTTCCGTCGGCTGATCAATTTCATCCGTTATATTAATACATGTACTTAAAGCATTCCAGATGCGATAAAATATTTTTGTAATACATAAAGAGTATATTAATGTATAGTAAATCTTTCCATGGAACTGATAATAGAGCTTGAACAGTTCTTATATAATTTCAAGGAAATGTATTTCCGGTAGAAGACTGATTCTCGTTGCCTATCTACAAAGCAAAGATGTATATGTATGTAAAAAATATTGCATGGCTTTATACTTAGCTAGGCTTGCGCGTCAGCAAATTTCGTGGCATATATATATGTGTATTACACGTGCCTCGCCTAATTCCTAATCGTTAACAATTCTCGACAGACTGAGTACTAACAATTTTTATTAACTTCTATCAAGATTGAATTAAACATGAATTATCTCCAGCATGAATTATCTCTATTTCTATTCATTCGGAATTCCTGTGAAATTGACGTATCACCAACACCAACTAACTATGTACTACACAGACCTTTCTACGTTTCAATCACTACTATTCATATTCTACAAGCAACCGAAATTCGCGAGCTTGTTAAATGTTATACAGCATATCCCTGGTATCATCGATAAAATTTGTAATGTCTGTAAAAAATTTCTAAACAATTCGGAACGATTAAACATGAAATAACATATTCTTTTAAATTAAACGTAACGAATTTTATCTCGATAGACAGTGATATTAAAATAAGATAATACCAGGTACTAAACTCGTATTTTCAATCAGAAGCGAAGAGGAAGCACGCATCGGAAACACGAAGAGACAGAAAGCGAAGAAAACGAGAAGTACGCAGCCTGAAGAATGCACAGCATAAAGATAGTAAAGAGTCGCAGAGCGAAGATCAGAATCAGTTAAAGAAAGAGAGAGAAAAAGAGAGAGGCGTACGCGTTTGAAAAAGCAATCGTAAACGGGGCCTCACCTTCCAGAATCAGTATAGTGGGTTCTGGGGGTAAGGGTGTAATCCCAGAACACCCTGAGCCTACGCTGCTCGATTCTGTCTCGTAATTCGAGGTGGTCCAATTTACAGAACTGCTCTCTTCCGTGGTCGAAGCGAGCGAGTCGTTCTCGTCGCCTTTTACTAAATTCTCCACGGTCTCTGTGTTATCGTCGATCCGTTTAATATCAGTCATCTGAGCCTGATGCTCCGGTTCGTCCATTGTTACGTTCAAACTGTGCGGCTGCTCTTGTTCGAAGGTCTCGTCGATAGCTGAGAAGCTGTCCCACTCGTCGGAGGCCGAGCCCATGCACGGACAGGAGCATTCGCACTCGCCACCGGCCCAGATCGGCGGTGGCGGCGACGAGGGCGGCTGCGGGGGTGGTGGCAGCCTGTTATCATGCGACTCCTCGGCTACGTGGTGCTCCTGCACCCGGACTCGTTCCTCGGAACTCGGTCGCTCGGCGTCACCGCTCGTGGGCACGGAAACGGAGAGCACGTACAGCGCTTTAGAGGCACCTGAGTCTCCCGAAGCGATCGTTATGTTCACAAGCACTCGTGACGCCGGTGACGGTTGATGAGAACGATCGACCGGCACTTCGACGATCTTCACTTGCTGCGTTAAAGGTGGTTTCACGTCGTCAGGTTCCACAGATTTCTTAGACGAGTCGTCGCGCGGTTTCGAATCGGTCTCATCCTCGCGGAACTTCCTTTCAAACTCTCGTAAGAATTCCTCATCGCTTTCCTCGTGAGTGATCACTCTCAGATCGCTAACCGGTCGCATTGGAGGCACGTCGTTCGTCAATTCGTTCTTGTACGACGATTGCTTGGTCTTCTTCGTGGTACCTTGATTCAGCTTTACGATCTCGACCTCGTCTGGCTCGTAATTATAAATCGGCAAGGGGTAGTCGTGCTGAGGTTCTTCGGCTCTATCCGTGCTGTTTTCACGGGCAGGCCAAATGTCCGACTCGGAGGATTCCTCCCGGGAGAGTTCTCGCGTTTCCTTCACGACGTCCGAAAAATCGGACGCATTCCTAACGTCCTCATTCCGCCACGTACCGTTTTCGTTCGCCAGATTTTTATCGTCGATCCTCGTATCGCCCGCTTCCGCGGATTCCGACTTGGAACTAGATTCTACGTGCTCTACCGGCGCTACGGGCTGCTTGCTCTCGGGATCATCCTCTCCCGAGCTAACTTCGCTACTTACGTCCACGCCGTCTAACGACTCCACGGTCTTATCTACTGGCTCTATATTACCTGTAGCGCTACTCGTCTCGCGGTCCGATGAATTTTTCACCGTTATCGATTCCGCGTTCTTTGACTCTACGGAGGACGCTAGACCGGTGTAAGCCCCGGGGAAGCTCGAGCTTTCCCTGCTACTCGGGACGTTACCATTATCCGTGCTCGGATCGTCGACTCGGGTAACCGAATCGGTAGTCGATTCCCGGTTTAACGTGGCACCGTTTTCCGCACGAGCCTCGGTGAATCGGTCAGGTTCATTAAATGAAGAAGAACGATCATCGCTACTAGCAACAGTGGGATCAACAATAACAGAGCCAGAGGCAGACGGAGAAGAGAAGGAGGAGGAGGAGGAGGAGGAGGTAGATTCTACATCAGCGACAGTGACATCACGTGAATAGTTAGTAACAACCGAAGAAGAAGACTCAGAGACATTCACAACATGAAGCAGCGTCCCCATAGGAGTCGAGTCATTATCGTCTTTTACATACTCCACGTTCTGTTCGATATTCACTTCCGAGGAATTGTTATCATGCTCCGTTTCATGCAGAACCACAACGCGATCATCGTCATCCTCGTCGAACGTGACCGATGATAAAGATTGCTGCTGCTGCTGCTGCTGCTGTGTAGCAGCAGTGGCTTCTGGCTCATCGTTATCGGTCGTCGAGGATTGCGAGGTTTTTGGTTCGCGAGACGTGACGGTTTGGTGCAACGCATGCTGGTTAAACGTGTCCCTACGCTTACGGACGTACAACATGCTAGCCGTCGACGGGTTATTAATACTACCTCCGGAGGAAGCCTGTTGCCGTCGTGTTGTCGACTGCGAAGACGAAGCGATCGCTGACGACGAAGTCTTGTTCCCGTCCGAGGATAGTGGCTTCGTGTCCGCGTTCTCGCCGACCAACACTGTGCACGCCTTCGTGCCCTGCGACCCATTCCCTATGCTCGAAACTGAAACCAGAACGACGTTTTCTAAATCTCGTTATAAATTAAACAGATGTGCCAAGAAACCGCGATCATTAGATTTAATCGTAGCACAGGCGTTGTTATCTACCTGGGTTTCATTAGTTTTTATACTATGTACAAGTATATTTCTGATTTTATATTTATAATCTGAATTGTAATATTGATAACGTGGAAATTGGGGAAAATGACTTACCTATGAAATAAGCTAACGCCGCGGTGACGCATAAAGAGAGAATGAGCAGTATCATTGCAATCAACTTCCAGGTGCAATCGACCCCCTTGACGAAATGGCAACAGCTTTGCCGGCTCATCGGGATCATCGACGGCGCGTGCCTGTACGGTAAAGGTACTCTGAAATTAAATAATGATCATCTCATTATTACACAATTTCTTTAACTGTTTCAACGATTAAATTGTTGGCTCTAATAAAAAGGAAGCAACGAGATAGTAAAACGCTCGTTAACAGCAAGTTATATTTGAAGAAAATTTAAATAGCTTTCAAGTACCTATTACTGGGTACCAGTTACTCTACTGGATTTCATTTCCCGAGTGTTTTATTCTGCATAAAAATCCGCAGTCGAGTGATAAAGTTTAAATTTACTCGCACGCGAAAGTATCGACGAGTATTTATCCATTAAAACCCGTTTGCTCATTCGGTTACACGTTTTACAACGTATCCTAAAACTTATGAGTAAAAGTGTACACGTATTTGTACGCGCGAAAGCATCGCATCGCGTCGAATCGGCCACCCGCGTCCCTGGAGTATGTTTACGTTGAACGTTCCACGCTCGCTTCCAAGTAACTCGGAAACGTCTAACAAAAATATTTAAACGGGACGCGCGCAGGCCAGCAGAGAAGCTGCCGACTCCTCGCTGTTTGCTTTCGTTGCATCACGCGATAATGGAAAACGAAAGCCAGACGCCACTGCGCCCGTCCCTTTCGCGGAGGTCTCCGCGTAGCGTCTCTTAAAAATCGCGAATTCTCTTTTCGCCTCTCAAACAGGCTTCGATTAATTCTCGGATCTGAATGTTTAACTGCGGGAATCGAGACGGGTGAATTATGAAGGGGAAGAACGGATGTTAGTGTTTTCACTGTTTTAAATTTGGAGCTGCGCTCTTTTACGGTGGTAATTGAGTGCCTAAATGAAGAGCAGCTTCACTTCAACCACATATTTTTTAATCAAACCCAGTTTTATATAGCAGGTGAATTAATTCATGCAAAGGGAATATTCTTTTAGATAAGATTGCATTTAAGCAGATAATTTTCATTCAACTGAAGTACTAATTTAAACTAATATAATCTAAGCGCGTCAACTATTTGAAAAAATATTATCTTTTACTTATAGAAATTGCTGTCGGTTACGATAAGAAGGAAAACCATGTTTCTTGTCTGTAAACAATCTTTGCAGCGATGCACGTCGACCGTTTAGCAAATTTCGAGTACCCACGCTCTCGAGAGGGCTGTGGTCCCAGGGAACACGATTTTTCACGGTAGCTCAGCGCACAAAAACCGTGTCTCGGTGGGACAACGCTTTGACTTCAAACATTGATTCATTGTCCAGCAGCGTCTTCTCAATAGATGATTCACGGGAATCGACTCGAGTACTCCCTTGTTCAACGAGAGAAGAAGCGCTCTTGCCACGCTTCGTTGTCGATCTTACATGGCTGGTTTTAGAAAACCTTCTGACTTGTTGCTTTCTTTTCCACTCTCGACTCATGAAATCTCGGTTCACATATTTTAGAATTTCCAAACCACTGTTTATTGTCTGATTCTAAGGATACAATAAGATTGTAAATTCCATTTAAAATAAAATTAATAATGTACAATTCACTTTTATAGTTTTTCTCAATTTCAATTTATAATTGTAAGAAACTGCAAGAGTTGGTGTATAGAATATCTGAGATTTCTTGATAAAATTCTGTGTTCATTAAAATAAATGAAATGGAACCTAATCGTAATTTTGTTTATGATTATCCTGTGGGCAGTGCTTAAGACCAGGAACCCAAATTGCATTTGGTTTATGGATGCCGTCGGAACGTTTTACAACGTGTCCTAAGACTTACGAGAAGGGGACGAGGTGGAAAAATGAAACAGGCTTACCTGTCCATGTTGTTCTGCAGCTCGACCTTTATTGGACTATTCCCCGTGGACTGGTTCTTGTTGTTGTACTCATTCTTCGGTATCTCTGCGAAAAGAGAGACAAAGACAATTTGTTACGTCGCGAATCGACAAAATTTCTCGTGGGGAAACGCTGCCCTACTTCTCTCGGACCTTCGTTCGGCTTTTCTCTCTATAATATCATCCCCCCCCCCCATCGCAGGTAGTTTTCTTTATACGAAATAATTCACGTTAGAAACGCTGACCACTCGAGCCAACAACGATCCAATTCGATCCCTTTCAATTCTGGGATGTATCGTCAATAGTTAAAACGACCGACTGGCACTGTCGTTATGAAAATGGACAAGTCGGTTCTCCACTTCCCGCGACACTTCCACTGTTACCTTGCCAAGTTTGAATAGTCCTTTGGAGAAGGTAACGCGGTAAGCAAATAAAAGTTGCGAAAGGAAAGTTCCCTATCTTGAGCTGCGATAAAATTGCACTTGTACAACTTTCATGTGCAACGGTCCACTCATGACTCGCCAAATGCCTCTCGCAGTTCCAATATGCAATCATTGCTACTTCGCCGTTGCCAAGCAATTCATATAAATTTTATGTAAAATATATTTCGTATTTCGATCATTCAAATCGACGATTTGATTACTTAATACCTTTAAAAAAATTTTATACAAAAGCAAACGTAGAATTAAAAAACGAATGAACTTTTAATTCGTTTTCTTTTTTATTAACGCCGGATGTTATATAGCGGACTAGGCGTTTCGCGATGCCAGACGCGACGCGACGCCCTTTTCTTTTCACCATATTCCCCGATACACCATCCGCGCCACGCAGAGACGGGGAAAAAGCGGAAGAGGCGAGACGGGCGAACGGAGCTCGTGTTGAATCGATAAGTACATGATTCATCGTGGTTTCGGTTTGAATTTCAAGCGGGCAGACCGCAAGGTGCGCGCGTCCAAGAAACTGAAACACCTTCCATCGAAACACCGCAGGAGATCCCCGTGTAATCGACGGTGGTTTTTCTACACCCGATCCACTTGGATCTTCTTCTCAAACCGTGTAATCGAAAACAGTGGTTTCGGATGAATACTGATAGCAGAGGAACGATTACCCTCCTGAGTACATTNTAATAAAAATTATTTTATTAAATAGAAAATTATTATAAGAACAAATACTAAATCGATATAATATATGAAATATGAAAACTAGGGTGTATTTACCATACGGAAAAGTAAGCTGAAGTACAACAGTACTGTTTACAATTACAGAACACATTGTTGGACATTGCTCGTCAGCGAAATGGCCAACAAACAATGGACGCTGTTTGATGCTAGACTGATTAAACATTATTTAGCTCGGCCGGGAAAAATCGCGCGAGTTGTTAAAATTTACAATTTGAATGTTTAAACGCAATTACATTAAACAGCGTAGCAGCCCTGGCCAGGCGGGCGGACATTCGGGGCGGTCGCAAAATTTCAATCGTGAAAGTTTAAACAGCACGACACGCAAAATTGAAATTCAATATCGGGCAACGTCCGCCCGATGAACAAACGCGGGGCCCTGTGATTTTTCCCAAATCCAATATGCATCGCATTCTTTGTACCTGGTTTTGTAATAAAAAATACAAGCTCGTGTTTTACGCGCGAGGACATTTTGTCAAAAGTCGGTTACAAAAATATTGGATTTAATCATTCGTTGAACGATTTACAATATCTGTTGTATGAAAAATTAATACCACTGGAAACGATTTAAATCTCTGTGCGCTCATGCAAACCGATAAACATGTTTAACTCGTATTTATCAAAATCATATGTACTCTACGCGAATATTCAATTACCAATAAATTTAATTACCTAACGAGATATCACGTGCCATTCCCTTTTACATTAAGATTTATTTCACCGAAGATCCTCGCGTTAGGCTAACGACAAGCGTGAAAGAAAGAAAGAGGAGCGGAGCGAACACGGCCGTGAGGGACCATAATCACGGATATCTGCCTAAATGCCATAATCATCGGATTTCGGGGCCGAGCGACCGGCAACACCTGCAATTAGCGGGCATGGGGTCCGCTTTTGCCGGACCTTCGTCTTCCCACGCTCCGGTTTCGTGCAGGCCGAAGGGTGAAACAGCGAATTCTCTCGTCACGGTGAGACAAAGGGTTCCAGAGATCGATTCTCTACCTGTTTCCATTAAAAATCACCGAACGATCCTGCGGTTTCGAACGGCCGACGCGACGTGTTCATTTTCAAGAACACTGGCCAGGTTAAATTGCTTGTAACGCGTACATGCCGACTCCCATTATTGTCGATTCAAGCGAAATTAGCGATTTCCTTTTGCGTGTAGTTTTATTCTGATTAAGAAACACTGTTTCATGTTTCAATATTAAAATGATAAATAAGTAATCTAAATAGAATTATGATCATAACT